GCTTGAGAAAAGGATTAAAGAAACAACATATCTGAATATGGCAAAAAAATGAACCTGATGGATTCAACTAAATTACAGACTAGGACTATATATGACTGTACATTTAACAGCACCGAAATTAAATTCCATTGGTTGACCAAAACACCTTGCCCCCACAGGAAGGTGTAACATGATGCAGACACTTAGCCAACCCAAGGTGTAACCTGTTTTTCCAAACTAATGATTTCATTGTAAATAGTCATTACTAATTATGTCGTTGATAAGGAAAAAATTACATTCCACCAAAATTACAAGGATGCCATATCTAAGGTTCCCGCTTATCAATTCTGATAGGCCATCGAATGTGGGAGAGATAATTAGCTAATAATGCTGCAAGATAGAAGTATAGTTAACTAACCGCATAATAAAGACTTCCTGAGCAAATTCTCGCTGCATATCAACATTTACACGCTCGGGCTTTAATACTTTAATTGCCACATCCTGGCTACAGTATGTTCCACGATAACTGCAGAAGAATAACATTGTTGTTTAGACAGAAACCATTGACAAACATTCCATCATTTTAACTTAGTTTTCTGTGTTAGTCTAATCAAACTTACAGATTGCCATATGATCCAGATGCTACTTTATTTCCAAACTTCAGGAGCTGAAAATCAATCTCCCATACATCAGTCCCATCTGTTGGTATCTGGACATGTTCAGGAGAAGATTGCTCTCCGGATTGTGCAGTCTCAATTTGAGGAGACCATGGATGAGACTTTGACCAAGCATGTCTCTGCATAGAAAGGTGTTCACCAAATTCAGCATAACGATCTTGTAACAAAAGTTAAAAAAAGAGAAGACATCATCAACAAACAATGTTACAGAGTTGATGAAATATATCGAAAGGGCAATATATTAGAAGCTACATGAGACTGAAGAACATGGAAGAATCAATCACTAAACCACACAATAAAACAACCGCTAAAAGATGACAATTAGAAGGCACTAATATGAAAAGAAACATCCGACCTCTTGTCGTCTAATATCTTCATTGTTTAGTATCTGTACAAAATCTTTAAGGAAAAAAATTAAGCAACATGTCTGCTAATTAGTAAGAAAAAGAAGATACTGTTGTGATACTGAAAAAAAAAAACAGATTCTGGTATCTTTAAATAAGTATGAGAATTGTCTGAGGAAGATTCATGATTATAAAATGCCTAAGAGGATTATCTGAAGAAGATTCATGATTATGATTCAAATAGAACACTGTTTCTAGAAGTGATTCCTTTCTTGCTAGTGTTTCAGATGTAAAATGCAAATGGGTTCTGCTCTAATATGATTACATACCAAGAAGAAAAAGACTTATAAGATATGCATGTAAATGTTTGAAGTTCAGATAAATTGCACAAACTGAGCAAAAATTATGAGAAAAAACAGTTAAGCCAACTAATAGACAATCATTTAAGAGTTAATTGATCAGTTCACTCAAAAACTAAATCATTTCTAATTTTTGCGCCCAAAGCCAATAGGAGCTTTTCTTCAACAACTTGCATATACTTCCAAACAATTTAAATCTTGTACTCTGAGGAGTGTTTTGTAACATAACACTCTTTGTCAACTACCAAGTTTTGAATTCAAAAACCCTTCTCTTGTACATTATCTGTTGCTACCTATATTTTTAAACCTCACAGTAGGAACCCCTCCACATTTTCAAATAGACGCTATCATCCATAATAATCTGATGCTTCCTGGATTCTTTAGGTCTCCTTGTTTATTGTACTTCTATTCATAGAGCAATATCTAAAGTTTAGTGAATTCACAGCTGTTCTCTCACCAGCATTGATATCAGCCACTAGTTCTAAATTGATCTTAATGCAGTCAAGGACATTTCTTTCCAAATATCAAGAGTTATTTCAACATCACAAGATAGATGGTTATAAGCAAGAAAGCCCATCAATGATGGAGTTGATCAAGATCCAAACTAATGATAAAAGAAGAATTAGAGAAAGAAAATTACTCCCATCTGGTGAATTTCCTGCTGCAATGAATCCCTGAGTTGGTCGGTTTCCTACATATTATGAAGAAATTTTAGTGACAACCCACAAAAGAACCTAAAATACTGATGAATGGATCAACATCATACTTTCTACAAACAGAAAAGGAACAGAGTAAAAACAGTTGTATTTGAGTGATCAAAACTGCTCTCCTAATCAAAAAACAACAATAAAACATGATCGAACGGAACCTAATAAAGGTTACTAATGTGCCCAAAGAAATAAGGAAATATATTCATTCCCAGAAGAAGATTTGGACCAGAACAAATTCATTTGCAATTATGTTATAATCCCTTAATTCCAAACATAATGATCACTAATGTAAAATGAACTATTTTGAATATAACTCTAGAAGTAGTAAAAACTTCCCTTCACCAAATAACAGGCAATTTCAGTCTGGCTTATCATACTCACCACCATTTAAAAATTTCCTGTCCTTATTCTGACCCTATTCATACTATAATTATGCAAAGGTATAATTATGCCCGTATATATATATATATATATATATATATATATATATATATATATATATATATATATATATATATATATATATATATA